TGAATGTTTTGTTTTAAATGGTTAATAGGCTTTGTTACAGCGACACGTCGCGACGTGTGGATTTTCCGTGGTCCAAATCCTACAGTTTTGCTTGTTGACATAACCTCCGAGGTAAAAATGCGCCTTATCCGAAAAGATGATTTTTCTTGCAAAATTAGGGTCATTGTTCAACTGATTTAAAGCCCACTTAGCAAAGCGAAAACGTTGTGGATGGTCAACTTGCTTTAACTCCTGAACAAGCTGGACATACCGAAGTCTTTGTGCAGTATCATCCTCAGAGTGGTACGGGAAAGGCCGAGTTGTAGACATCTGCGCCGAGTTGATGTTGACGCGTTCATGCTTACATTTTCGGCCACAGCAGCGATTGCTTTAGGTGTACGTCTAGGACGAGCATGCGAAACATGTTTTATGTCCACCAGCATTCCATTTCTGCGCAATTTTTTAATCAAATTTGTAATACTGTGGTTTGACGGCGCCTCATTTCTTCCAAACGCAATTTTCTTGCCCTCTCTGCGATCACACTCACATTCAAAGTAAGTTTTGAGTATTTCGAAACGTTGATCCAAATTTATTTGGTGCATATTTTGTAATCGGAAGGTTAAAACTAAACCACTGTCAACAATTCATGGCCTTAAGTTGAAAGCTTCATTAATAGCACGTAGTTTAAAATTCAACTTATAGATGGCCCACCCTTTATTTAAATATAAAACATTAAATATTTTAATTTTTAGCCCTAAAATATAAATATATATATTTTGCGGCAATATTAATTGAAAATGTAAAAAAAAAGCTGAACTAAGTATAAAAAATATTTATTAAATTACCAAAGGATATTTCGGCAAAACCTTACCCCACCTTGACAAAAAAGCAGATGTTTTATTTAACAAAATAAAAACTACGTATATCTGAAGTCAAATAATTTAATTGCGACGTAATTTATAATTTTAAAATATTCGTACATTGTAATGCTAAGAATAAGCACGGAAGAGTTTTAATACTCGATACAAAGTTTAAATGTCGCACCCGTTACATTTTAAGAAAATTTTAGAAAATAAAGTAGGTATACAATATTTGAATCCCCTTTTATCAAAACTCCTTAAATCCGTTTTGATGAAAAATGAGAACCATGCATTAAAAAATACCTATCAATTTGTGCATTCAAATGGTTCAAAAAGCCACGAAATGTATATATTCATTTTTTTTTATAAATATTTTATGGCTTTTGCAACCATTTCTATGCACACATTAATAGGTAGGAATATTTTAATGCATGCATGTATCTCATTTTTATCAAAATGGATTTAAGGGGTTTTGATTCTAGATTATTTATTTGTGCATTTAAAATACTTGCTTGTTTGAGGTTACTATTCAAGTTTTAGACAAAAAATTATTACTATATGCTTGCATCCGAAATTTTACATTATCAACTTTAGAAGCCAACTTGGTCGCATTTGTCGATTTTCTAAGGTCGCGCCCGTTACGCGATTTATGGCGTTATAAAAGGTTTTCCATACAAGTTTTTATTGACATTTTGTTTGACTTAATATCTAATTATTTTTGTATATTAACTTATTTTGATATATATGAATCAACATTTTATTATCATAAAAAACGCAGTGTCAGTGTCGCACCCGTTACAATTGAAATACTCCAAAACAAAAAAAATCACAAAATATATTTAATAGTAATAATCTATATATCTATATAAACAATATAATAACTAAAACTGGTTTTAAGTGATGTACAATCGGTATACACATACTACTGTTAAACTTTGCTACTGCAACTATCAAACAAATACTAAAAATATTATAACAATTTCTGTTCTTTTTTTTCAAAAACGCGCTTTAAAGCGGCCCACGCAAATAAGTTACCAAATGAAATCCATCCCATTAATTACAAAATATAAATATGCTGTTAAAGATTTTCTTCTCCAAAACTGTTTGTATTTTTTTAATGATTTTAAATATTGTATTTTAATCTCAATTTAGTGTAACCTTTTGACGTTGTCGATATCATTGTAATGATCTTATGGCAATAAAACTATTATTATTATTATTATTAAAGGCGGTAACCTTTACCCTATGTATGTTTAAGTATTTCTTTATTTGCAAGAAAGTTTATCGTTATAAAGTACTGATTAGCCCTTTAAATTTACGCCCCCAAAATGTTGCGCCTGCGTGCGTGCACGCACTGCACGCTCGCTAGGAACGGCCCTGGGTTCACGATTTATACAGTGTCTTAAATCATTTAATAGGTATAATCGGTAAATAAATATGGGTGATTCTACAAAAGTTGGACAACTTGATGTTGTCAGTCAATAGAGTAGGTATTAATATTTTAATATTTTTTGTAAATATTTTAGTATATTACAAAAGATCCAGGGTTTTTTAACCTGTCCACCCAATTTTAATGTATTTTTTCAAAAGCACGTTTGTAGAAAAACATAATAAATATTCAAAACATCAGTACCTTCCCTATTAAAAATGCCCTATAGAACCCATATTGATCCAGATAAGGAAACTAATATGGATTTATATGGTTCTATATGTCCTATATGGAACGACCTGGTTTACACTTTGGAATCTATATGGTTTAATATGGAATTTCATTTTAAAATGTACAACTTAGGGATTTTTATATGGATTTATCTGGTTTCTGTTTTATGTGTCTTTCCATATAGGTTTCCCTATATGGTTGAATATGGAATTCCATTTTAAAATGTATATATACTTAAACGAAAATTGCATATTAAACCATATAGATTCCCCTATATGGTTAAATATGGATCTATATGGTAATAATTTTTTCACACCCAAACCATATTGGGCCAGATAGAGCAATATGAACCTATATGGCAATCCATATAGAAATCACTTTTCTAAATGGTTTTCCAGGTATAGAATTCTACCTGGTTCAATAGTGCAATGCCTGTTTCAAATTCCTATATTACCAAATAGATTTTTATTTTGTGTTTCTATATGGCATTTTTAATAGGGTTGGCGTGTCACAACTCCTGAATCAAATATTTGAGTGATTTTATTTTAAAATACATATATTCAATTTATCTTAAATTTTTCAATTTCACTACAAACTATAAAACATTAAAAAATGTATTTTTCATATTTTAGCATAGATTCGAATAATAGCAATTTTTAAAAAATTGATAATCTTTGTTCTCCCTTTTACCCGTCAGTTCAATGTTAAAATTCAAAATTCCTGCGAAATATTGAAGTTTAAACGTCCAGTCCTCGTATTAACTCAAGTGTTGGTAAAAACTTACCTACAGATCCCGCCCTTTGCACGACAGTCATCTTGAAAACAAGTAAATAGATATACCTAATTATAAGCTAATTACTTTTATAAAACCTTTAGACTATATTTAATTTAAAACAGACTTTAAAACAAAAATTGTTTTCAATTCCCGAAATTTCAGTTACATATGTTGCTTGTGATACTTTGGCAAAAAGTCATCGATATTATTATAAGTTTCCTGCATAACAACGGGAATAATTATTCATTCATTAATGAACTCATTATTCAAGTTGTTAGGCATCATTGATTGGCTCATTCAATGATTAGAACCGATCTGGTTTTAAATTGGGACAAGTCGACTAAGTATAATAATATTTAAAATCGGAAAAAGTGAGGTTAACCATTTGACAGATGTCAGATTTTATTTATTTATTATCTAATGATCTCCTTATTGGAGTAGCTAAAGCACAGTATTACAGTCGAGATTATGCGCATTATCTCTCGTATAATAATATACTATTATATTTTTCTAATGACACAAAGTATTTGTTAAATAAACTAAGTAAATACACTGAAACAATATTCTTCAAAACCATAATTTAAAAAGAAATCCCACGGTAAAAGAATAATGGAAGAAACGTTTTTTTACTTCCTTTTTACCTTACATCCACACAGGAAATATAGTTTCCTGTTCTTAAAAATAAAGACGTTAAACGTCAAACTAGTGTGGTTCTCATAGACGCGCTCCCATTTACAGAAAAACGATAAGCATTTCCAAATACCTGCTGATTTTTATGTATGGAAGGCGTTAAAACATCATGTTTTTTGTTATTGTATGCATTAGGGTGAGCCAAAAAAACTAACCTATCGGATTTATGGGTTAAAATGAACCTACATACCGAGCAAAAAATTTCCCTGCAAGGCAAAATTTTTTGCTCAATTTTAAAAGGTGTCGGTGAGCATTCTAAGTTTTCCATTGAAATAACACGTAAAAAAATCTTTTTTCATTAAAAAGACTATAACTTTTGAACTGTTTGAGATAAAATTTTTTACGTCGCGGATTCTTGTAGAGCATAAAATTTCCCAAAGAATCTATACCATTTAATTCAAAAATTCGTATATTTGAAAGCTTTGAAAAGTGTAAAAAATCAATAAAACTGCAGTTTAGCAGTATGCATACTAATTAAGAGCTTAGTGATTTTAAAAAATTGCACCTTAACTTCAAACAAACAAAAAACAAGTGCATTGATTACTAAAGAGATAATTATTATTTAAAGAAATACAAATTAAGGACGGTATAATAAGGCTTACATAATCGGAAGGTAATGAGTAAAGAAAGGATTTGGGTTACGGTGCAATAAGAATATGAATTGCTTTTGCACGGTTTCGGAAGTATTAAATGTCTATTATAATACCATGCAATACGAAAACGGAGGTTTGACAACGTGTCCTTTGTAATTACCGGTACGATGCATTTTGGAGTCAAGTTACAGCTGCTATGGAAATTTTCTTGTGTTTTAAAGTTGAATACACAGAACCTACTGGTTTTATACAATATGTATTCATGTATTCAATTTTTTGTTTATCCGATATTTGGAGATGGAACACAGCTAATATTAGCTGTGTCAAAATATTTTGAATCTGTAAGTTTTTTTCCCATGCCTTCGTGGGTCTCAATGGTTTTTAGTAGCACTTTTTTATGGTTTAAATCGTGTTTTTGATTAAAATGGTATATTTTATTTCAGTAAAGATATTATGATGTCGCCGACGGCAACAAATGCAAACGGCGTCAACACAGGTCTAGATTGCAAAAGCCAGTGCTCCTCTCTTTCGGATGGGGAAAATTACGAATGGTCAGGAGAAGGTGCAGACATGGATGCGGATTCTGGGATATCTAGTGAAAAAAACATTAGGTGAGAAATACTTTTTTCTACTCCCACCTATAAAACGCCCATTATCGTACATGTTTCCATGACACTAAGTAATCTTTTAAATACACATTGACAAGCTATGGCTTTATGGTGCTTTAGTCACGGGCTGAAGTTAGTTTCAAGTTAGTTGACAGTTGTCAAACGTCATACAATCGTTAAAATAAAGTGCCCTTTTTGTAAAATATTTCTAAATGTAAAAATTATTTTATTATCTCAACACAAATATTAAAAAGTAGGAGTGCCAATACATTTTTTTCTAAACTTTCAGTGTGAAAAACTGCTTCTATATCAAATTAAACGTTTCATTTTCAAGTGATACATTTAGATTTACTCCATATAACAAATATTCACATATAAATTTGACATTAAATGACAAATTTTGATATTCCCAAATACTCTATTGTTTTATATGTTATATGTCGCTCTATACAAATATTTAATTTAATCTTAATCTTAGTTAATAATAAGTATTTGTCGTGGAAAAAGTATAGTATGCAACTCGTTTATAAACTTTTCTGGACACTCATTTAACTAAGCACTCGCTCGCTAGCTCTCTCGTGCGTAAATTAAATTCGTGTCTAAAATGGCGTTTATCAAACTTGATACATAATATAGGTACTATTATTTTTACCAATAATACTCTTTTTTAAGACTAAAACAATCTTTGTATTATTCATTTTTACATATACACAAAAATGAACTTGAAATAAGCGTTTTAAGGCGTAAAAAAACCTGAAAAATTGTGAAAAAAAACTGTTTATTTCCGTTTTTCCGAGCCTTGAGAAAATTGAGTTTTAAAAAAATATTATTTTAAAGAACTAATGTCATAAGACGTCATTTTGTCGCGCGCGGATAATTTATATAAAAAAAATATTTTATACTTTAAATTTAATTTGGTCGAATTTTACTTTAGATAGTTGGTATCACAGTTTGACAGTTAATGTCAAAATCCATTCGCCATGCCGTTCTTAATTTACTTATTTACAATAAGCGGCTGTTAATGTTAAAGAAGAAAAAAAGGATTTTCTTTGGTGTTAAACAAAATTTATTACCAGAAAAGTCTCGTAAGTACTAGAAAAATATTATAACCAATATGCAAAATATTATGCTGTTTAAAGTATAGCCAACCTATAAAATCAAAATTTAGGGTGGGATAAAGTATCTCATTACAGCACCGAATGCGGTGTTATAATGAAGTCATTATGAACGCAAAATAGAAACAATTTATATTTGAATAAATGTTTTATTTTTACTTGGGAAGGTCGTTCATAAGTTTTTTAGATCCAATTTTTTTTAAATACAGTTTTTCCACACCTTGCAGAAAAAAACGAAAAAAATCCGAGCCCTCAAATACTATAGTGTATAGTGGCATACCAGCATTCTAAACGAAAAAATTGGTAAAAATGCAAAAGTCAATTTTTCTGAAAATTCAAAATATCCGAAACCTTTTTTAATTCGCACTACTGCAGGAAATGTAGATAAATAGAAAAGTAACTTTTTTCGAAGTTCCCAGGAATACCGAATTATAATAATTTTTGGTTTTACAAATTTAGGTTTTAAAATTATTTAAGAATTTTCAAAAACCATTTTATAATAATATACTTGTAGCTAATAATATACTTTTCTCTAGTTATAATATATTATAGACATTGTAACAATTTATATTTGACTATTTCCCTCGTCTTAATTTCCACCAATCACAAACGCGCAATTTTGAATTACAAATGGTTTCTAGGTGAAAAAACTGTGTGACAGCAACTGTCAGCAGTTTTTTCGAATTTACCCGCGGCAAAACTCGACAGCTGTTTTCACCAAAAATTGCAATTTATATTTTAATTGTTAACTGTTACTCATGAAATAGTCTTGTCAAATACCATTCGGGCATCTAATTTTTCCTGTGAAAAAAATCGAAAAAACACAATGCTAAGTAATATTTTTTTAACAAAATGCATTCGTGCAGGTGCAAAAATCCTCCTCTTCGACTCGGATTTTTGTTGCCACCAGCACTCATGCGTTTTGTTAAAATATTACTTAGCAACGTGTTTTTTCGATTTTTATCGGAAAAATTAGATGCCTTTATGATATTACTTACGAATAAATGTTTTATTTTTACTTGGGAAGGTCGTTCATAAGTTTTTTAGATCCAATTTTTTTTAAATACAGTTTTTCCACTCCTTGCAGAAAAAAACGAAAAAAATCCGAGCCCTCAAATACTATAGTGTATAGTGGTATACCAGCATTCTAAACGAAAAAATTGGTAAAAATGCAAAAGTCAATTTTTCTGAAAATTCAAAATATCCGAAACCTTTTTTAATTCGCACTACTGCAGGAAATGTAGATAAATAGAAAAGTAACTTTTTTCAAAGTTCCCAGGAATACCGAATTATAATAATTTTTGGTTTTACAAATTTAAGTTTTAAAATTATTTAAGAATTTTCAAAAACCATTTTATAATAATATACTTGAAGCTAATAATATACTTTTTTCTAGTTATAATAGACATTGTAGCTAAATAAAAAAGATACCCATGCCATGGGTCCCATGGGTATGCATACAAAATTCAATTTTAAAAAACTTATAACTAAAAACTATTCATAATAATAATATGATAATATAATATAATATGATAACAATTATTATCATTCCTGTATAAAAATAAAATAATGGATGGAATAATATGCTCAAAATATAAAAAGGCCCATTATTTTATTTTATATTATCTCTGAACCCACAGGACATGGAAATACCATTTGCAACAATGTTCAATTTTTTTATTTGCATTTTTCAAAAGAAACGCTAGATTTGTTTTTTTAGTTCTAAGGAAGGATGTTTTATTTTTAAGTTAATTATTTTACCCTCTATAGCTGTTAAAAGTTCTAAGAACTGCCATATGGTTGCTATTCAAACTTCTTATCCGAAATACCACATGTTGATTAAAAAAATACTTAAAACTCAATATGTAGGTAAATACTTTCTTTAAAATTTTATTTTTTATTGAGTATTATTTTGTTTGTTTGTAGGTATATAAAAGTAATGTTAACATGTTTTTATTTATGTTAAACTTTTCTACTTTTCCTTTCACTTTTTGTAGTTTTATATTAAATTAATATACATTAATATAACTTGATGAAATATTCATAGATCTAAATTCAACAAAACCATTTTTCAAAGCATAAATAAAACCATATTTAGATATAATTGTTCTATTATTATACAAGTGGAGTAAATTGCCATTTATGTAATAGAAAATAACAATATTTATGGATTAGATTCAGGTATTTTAATGATTTAATTTAATGCAAATTTAAATGTTAAATAACGTTGTGGTTTTATATTGTTGTAAGAAAATAATTATCTGCTTATTGTTGTTAAATTAAAAAAAAAGAAATTTAAATTCAAGAAAAATTCTTACGATGAGTAATATTAAGGCCGTAGGGGTATTGTAAGTAGGCGACGAAAGGTTGGTAACATGTTTAGTCACATATCTCTGAAGAACATCTTTTAGCACAGTTTTGTTTTATACATTGAGTAAAAACAGTAATAGGTAATAAAATTAAACGAACTGGTAAATTTTGCAACAAATAACAAAAGTTTCTGTGTTTTTCAATGAGTCACCTAAAAATGTTATTATGTTTTTAATTTTTGGACTTTAACGCAACCTTATTTTATAAATTACAATGATTACCTAACTTTAAACAAAATTATTAGATATTTTTTTGTCTTAACATTTTTAATTTATTTAAAACGTTTTTTAGTAGCAGGGTTTTTACTCCTTCATTTATTGGCACTGAATTCAAATATTTTAAACCCAAAATACTTTATCACCTACCGTTTTAAAATTTTTTTTAAACATCGGCCACCAGAAACAATTTTAATGTTTCATCGTATTATGATTTTGTTTTAAATGTAAGTTGAGTCTTGCTTATTTTTTATCATATTTTTATTATATTTTCAGAGAAATAAATGGTAATGGAACAAACAGTCCCAATGGTATAAACAGAAATACTTGGTTAAGAACCAGCTTAAGGAGGTCTTCCCCAAAGTAAGTACTTACCTAAATTATTTTAACCTTTATATCTAAGGTTTGTTATAAAAACAAAATAAACAAGGTATCTAGCATCCATTTAAAGTTAACACAGTTGACAGATGTATTTTCTGACAGAAACCTAAACTTTAAATCATAACTTCGTAATATTGATAAAAGTACATTATAGACCAGGCCGAGAAAACACACTATACCCGAGCATACATTTCACTGCCGAGGCGACAGCCGAGGCAGTAGATTGTGTGCGAGGCAATTAATAATAAGCTTTCGCCGCCGGGTTTAATCTACTATTTTGTTTTTAAGCATTAAATTAAAATATTTTGTTGAGATTTTGAAACATTATTTTTATGTCTGGTTTAACTGAAATAACCAAGTTATTTTAACAACAATAATTATTAGAAAGTTCAAGTCCTTAATAAATTAATTGTTTATTTTTAAATTTAGGGTAGTTATTTAATAATCATTTTTTGTTTCAAATTAAATTGCCTTTTAAAATATCTAAAAATATACAGGATGTCCCATTTAAAAAAAATGTTATTTTAGTGAATATTTCTGAAACCCGACGTTCGAACGTCGGGTTTCATTGTTTTTTTGTTTTCAACATTTTAATTAAAAGAACAAATGCCACTAATTTGCTAATTTTAACTAACTCTGTATAAAACGGTTCCCGGTCACTTTCCCGAATGCAATTTCCCGACTGACCAATTTCCCGACAAACCATTTTCCCGACGACGTTTTTCCCGACAACACTCTTCCCGACAGACTATGTTCACGACAAAAATCTTATTATCCAGTTAAGAAACGTTTTTCCCGATAGCCCTTTTCCCGAAAGATTATGTTCACGACAAAAGTTTTATTATCTAGTAAAGAAAAACATACCTGGTCAAAAATGATTTCGGTATCCGCTTGTTCCTTCTGGAATTCTGTAAGGGCCAATGGGGCGGGGTCGGTTGGGTTGGGTTGTTGGGTTTGGGTTGGTTTTGAAGCGGACGTTTGTTAAGGAAAAAAGATCTGCTTCTCGTCCTAAGATTGCGTAATCGTATAAAACTATTCTGTATGTTTACAAAAATATCAAAAAATGGCTTATTTTTGTCCAGATTTTTAGAAATACTAAATGTAAAAAAATATTTTTAAATTTTTTGAAAAGAAAAAATAAAAATATTTTTTTAAGAATAAAAACAATATTGCCATAAATCAAAAATGTATTATTAACGATAATGGGTTCTTACTAATATAAAATTTAGTTTTTAGTATTATCATTTCGCCAAACATCCAAAAACTTTATTTTGCAAATCCGTTATCAATCGCTAAAACAATTACACAGTTCGACGAAATTTTATTTTTTTCCCTCCCATGAAAAATTTCTATAGATTTTGAAAATAGACTTAAAAAAATTAAACCCGCGTCTCGGCGTTTTTTCAGATCACGTCATTTTTTTTTAAATGCGATCCAATAAAATGTTATCCACGGTAATCGGCACATAATATAACAGCTTCGATAACAGCTAGACAGTATATTATTATGAAAAATGTATTCAATGAATAAATGGACAACCATTAAAATAATTTATTTATTTTAAAATTATTTTAATTGTATACAGGGTATTGCACATATACGATGTACGGGTGTTTCACGTTCGTGGTCCATTGAGAGTTTCTGAGGAACAGCAAAAGATATCGATTTAAAATTTTAAAAGCGTTTTATTATCCAATTAAGCCTATTTTTCTAAAATATTTTAAACAAAATGCCACTTCCTATTTGACCGGAAGTGACATCAACTTTGTTATTTTAAATAGAACACCCCATATATTTTTACATTTTTAAATTCTACATAAAATTTTGAGTAAAATTACTGTACCATGTCCTAAAGTGAATAGTTTTTGAGTTATTAATTTTTTCTGTTAAATTATGACAAAATTTAATGCGCGTCAATCAAAAATATCCTATAACTTTCTTGCTATTAGGTGTGCAAAAAAGGGGGTGTAATTTTTGGAATCTTAAAACATTGTTTAAAAGATTCCATGTCAATCCCTTAACATACCGGGTGTTACATTTAAAATAAAAAAGTTATTAACGTTTCAATTTAGCCCAATTTGCCCTGGGTTTTCTCGGGTAATTTGTTGAAAAATGTTAAAGAATTGACATGGAATTTTTTAAACAATGTTTTAAGATTCCAAACATTTTAACCCCATATCCGTAAACCTAATAGCAAACATCTAGAAAACTATTCACTTTAGGTATAGGACATGGTATAGTAATATTACTCAGAATTTTATGTAGAATGTAAAAATATATGGGGTGTTCTATTTGAAATAGTTGATGTCACTTCCAATTAAACCGGAAGTGGTATTTTGTTCAAAATTTAAAGAAAATAGACTTAATGGATTATAAACGCTTTTAAATTTCAAATCGATATTTTTTCCGTTCCCCAGAAACTTCCAATGCACCACGAATGTGAAACACCCTGTATATCAAGTGATGTTTTTAGATTGTGATACCACTATAGATTCGAAAGTAAGTTGATGTCACTTCCAATTAAACCGGAAGTGGTATTTTGTTCAAAATTTAAAAAAAATAGACTTAATGGATTATAAACGCTTTTAAATTTCAAATCGATATTTTTTCCGTTCCCCAGAAACTCTGTATATCAAGTGATGTTTTTAGGTTGTGATACCACTATAGATTCGAAAGTAATGTATAATTGTCAAAATAAAAGATCAAGATTTGTTTCCAACATATATTTAATATAAGATAAATACAAATCTGTTGTTTTATTAAAAAAAATCAAAAATAAAAACCAGAAATATTTTTTTTTACTTAAAAAAAAATAAAATCGTTATTTTCTTTGAGTATAATTTTTGTCTTTTGTCTAAACATGAAATATTTGAAGAAAAAAAAATAATTTTTAACAAAATAGAGAAATAAAAATCTGTTTAAGTTAAAATAATAAGAATGGATGTGTAAAAAATTTAAATGACTTGATTTCGTGAAACGGTCAGACATGCGTACGTTTCACCTTTATTTTTAAAATCTGTTAGTTTGTCATGGTAGGAAAATCGTGTTGTACTATGTAATAACAAAAAAGTTATTATAATTAAATAAATAATTATATACTCAAATAAAAACATAAACGAATACCGTAAACACGGGTGGCTTTAGCTCACTTTCAAACTTAAGCTTAAAATTTTTGTGGGTTTAACAATCATAAACATTAAATTTTGTATACCAAAATTTGAGTCTTGAGTTGCTCTTTCATAATAACTATGTTATAATATTACATAGGGCTGAGTTTCAAAAATAAAAATTAAAAACTGGGTGTGCAGAGTTACCCCCTGGTTGCGTTTGTCTCACAGTGTATTTTCCGTATAAAATTAACTCAATATTTTATTTTATTTTCATTAGACACGTCGTGTTAGCAGCGACATATATCTATTGCAAGGGATTACCGATAAAAAAAATAAAAAATCGACCTGTAGTTAACCAAGGATAATCATTCCAAAGGATTGCGCATAATATAAAAATTGTAAGGCGTGTATTTCTAAGAGTTTTGCACTGATGCGATATATACAATTTTAATGTGTAATAAATCCCATTTCTTTCTTTAAAACACTGATTTTCCTGTAATATAAACTCAATAGAATCGCTTAATTGACAGGTTTAGATCAACAAATTATAAATGTTAATTTTATCGAGCGCGAAAAGATTTTTCATAAAAGGGTTAAAGTCACCCGCGGGGTGCAAAGTCACCCCTTTTTACGGTACATGTAACTTCATAATAACAGCCTTTTATAGCCTTAAAAAAATAAAAACTCATAAATCCACCATTTATTTCAATAAACTTTCATATTTGTTAGTAGTGGCTGCGCAGGCTTGTATTACACGTAGTTTTTGTGCAGTAGAGGTGACGAAAATCTAATTGTAGATAATTTTTTGAATTCTCTATTTTTTGTTTCATTATTATTTTAAGTTTCTATTGCGTTTTTTATTTGTCAAAACTAAGCATAAGAATATTTATACCGTGTTACTATTAGTTTTATTTCATTATTTTTTTTCATGGATAACTTGACGGAATACATTTTTGTAAATAGTTATTCTTGTGAATTTTTAATTTGGATACAAAATAGTTCTTACTTAATATAAATTCCTAAAAATTTACTTTCAAAACTGATATAGTAGGCCTTGTATTTTGTAAAAACATACAGTTTATTAAGATCTACACTTTAAAACAAACTCGGTTAAAATTGCACAATAAATAAAGATTTTACAGGGGTGAGACACAAACAAATGGTTCACACTGTAAGGTAATAATGTAGTAATTTAATAATATTTTTTTTTCATTTGCTAATATTAGATTTTATTAGGCCAATTATTTTAAAGAAAGAATAAAGCTTCTTTTTGAACTAAAAAATTAATTACAATAGTAAAAATTATATTTTTTAAATTTAAATTTAACATATTATTGCAAAAAGTAAAAAAAATTACCGCCTAGGCATTTGTGAATATTTTTGCAAGGCTAGCCGTAGAAACACCTACTTTCTGGCTTCTAAGGAGACGGTAAAATTTAACTTTACCCTCAATCTACACAACAAGGTCTGTTCTATCTCGTTTCGCGCATTCTAAAAATCACTGCCACTGCACAGAATCTAAAGCCGGCCATTTTTATGTTGTTTACAATTCTTGTGCCTTGAGTTGGAAGAAAAATATTTTGTATAAGAATAAGTGCAGTTTAAAGATTAATCAAGACAAAATGATTTGGTCAAGAAAATCAGGCCGGGATAAAAACAGAAAAAAATAAAACATTTTATGCTTCAATTTCAGTTTCATTATTGTTTTTACATTATTTTTTATTACAACACGTTTTTACGCATTAAAGAATGTTAATAAAACAAGTGAATTAAATCGAAATTAATTAAAAATAAAAAGTTTTACTCTCTAGTATAAATAATGAACATGCATTTTTGTTTTAAAAACAAGATATTGCAACTTTTTATTTTTATAACAACTTACTAATTAAATAGTAAATATTTTTTTTATTTTTAGTCATCAAGATTTGCCACATAGAAGATGGGGGTCATTTAGAGTGTAAGTATTTATATATTTATATATTATTTAAAGTAAACACATTTATTTGTTTTTAACAGTAGTTAAAACGTGCATTATTCAGTAATCACCAATATCGGTAAATATTTGTTGATTGTATGACACAAATATATTAGTTACCGTTATTAAAATGTATCATTTGAATACAATTTAAAATAATCTACATTAATGTAGATAGATAATATCTATACCTAGGTACATTAAAATTACAAATATTTTTAATATATATAATCACATAATTCTTAGACCAAAAAGGTTTATTTAAGTAAACTTATCTTGACATTGTTTTTTACTATAAATTAAACTTTAAAATTAAATTCTTAATTAATTAATTCTTAGACCAAAAAGGTTGATTTAAGTAAACTTATCTTGACATCGTTTTTTACTATAAATTAAACTTTTTAAAATTAAAGTCCATATCAAAATTATGATATTATATTATTAAATTCATAGACGTAAAACTTTGTTTTTCTAATAATTGCACCATTCAAATTTCCACCAACGCGTTGCAACGGAGAGAAAGGAATACATTGTAAAATTTAGATTGCCCAACTCATTTACTACAAAAAGTTACTGTTTAAATAATTTAAAATTTAAAAAATAATATTTATTAACATTATGATTCTAAATAACTAAGAGGGTATTGAATCTAAACAATTGCATGTTATTTGTGCTATACATATGTTAAACCAGGATATTTTCGCCACTATTGATTCAATTAAATTAAAATTTGTACAGAATAAACATCGTGCTAAAATTTTAGCACACAATAATGCCATAATATTTTAAATAGTTTTTAATAGTAGGTATATTATGTATCAAGTTTGATAAACGCCATTTTATACACGAATTTAATATAGGCACGAGCGAGCTTGCCAGCGAGTGCTTAAATTAATGAGTGTATAGAAAAGTTTATAAACGAGGTGCATACTATACTTTTTCTACGACAAATACTTTTTTTTATCTTAAAATGATTTAAATCAAAAATTTGTATAGAGCGCCATCTATGAAACAATACGGGAATCTGTGTGTCACCGTCAAATGTCAAATTTTATAAACACAGATTATAAAGGTTATAAATCGAAATGTATTTCTTGAAAATTGACAGTTTTTTACAGTGAAAGTAAAGAAAATGCTTTGAGCACTTTACAGTGTAGTCCGTGCCCGAATTTAAGTTATAGTTTACTGCCGGCAAAATTAAAAGGTACAATGTTTATATAAACTTTTCAAATATTGGCGTTGAGAAACTATTTAATACTTTTGTATTTTTGTATTGAGATAATATAATAATTTTCACATTTGGTATTATTTTACAAGAAAGGCACATTATTTTAACGATTGTATGAAATTTGACAACTGTCAACTAACTTAAAACTAACTTCAGCCCGTGACTAAAGCGCCATAAAGCCACAACTTGTCAATGTGTATTTAAAAGGTCACTTAGTGTAATGGAAACATGTACGATAAAGGGCGTTTTATAGGTAGGAGGAGAAAAATATGTTTAAGAACATCAACCACTTGTTTGGAAAATAGTTTCACACCTTTTTACCCATTTTGAGCTATTTTTTAGCAATTTTTTTTTGATATTTTGTAGTATTTGAAATTTCCTATAGGAAGTATCATAATATGATACTTATTATATGAAATAACCATTTACTATAAGTAAAAGCGCAAATTAATAGGTATAAAAACTAGATCTGAGATCCGGGCTCCGAATCCTAGATGTGGATCCGCGATTCGAATTGTAGAACCTGACCCTAGATCCCAATCCGGTTCCTATATTTAAATCTGGATATATCCGTATAAAAAAAATCGGATCTATGCACCACTATGTATTACATACATGTATTTGAAAAGTTTATATGCAAGTTTGTACTGACCTTTTGATTTTGCCAGCAGTAAACTAGATTTAACTAAAGCATTAAAAATTTCAAGTGGAGACTCCTACGCGAAGTGCCCACAAAACATTCTCTTCACTTTCACTGTAAAAAACTTCTTCTATATTATCATTTAAACGGTTGTTAGTCCATTTTCAAGGGATAAATTTCGATTTAAACATACAAATTGGCCTTTTTTCTGGCGCGCCGGTAATACAGCTTCCCAAGTTAGAAATTGTTACGCGAGTTACTCTATTCTTTTTATAGATGTCGCTCTATACAAATATTTAATTTAAATCATTTCAATATAATAATAAGTATTTGTCGTAGAAAAATGGCGTTTATTAAACTTGATACATAATATACTATTAAAGGCTCTTCAAGTTGTGTTAATAATATTAAAGTTATATTAATATTAATGAACACTGGAGATTATTCAACCTATAAATCTTCATTAAATTATAGTTTAAATTAATAGTACACTTTTACTATATTTATAATTTTCCTATGCAACTTAGTTAAGTGGTTGAAAGCCTTAAGTGATTTAAACGTATTTTTTAAATAGATCCTACAATAAATTATTTACAGCTGTTTTCACTTCTTATCTTCTTATTTGCTTTTCCTGCTTTGGATTTATTAATTCAATTTATTTTTATTAATTTTAAAATTAGGTACTTTCTCCAAAAATAAATAATGGTTTATAGTAAAAACCCAAATTAGGTAAGTTAAAGTGTAAGATTTTATACTAGGTGTTTCACATTCGTGGTCCATTAGAAGTTTCTGGGGAACGATAAAAGATATCGATTTAAAATTTTAAAAGCGTTTGTAATCCATTTAAGTCTATTTTTCTAAAATATTTTAAACAAAATTACACTTCCGGTTTAACCGGAAGTGTTATCAACTTGGTTATTTTAAATGGAACACCCCATATATTTTTCCATTTTTAAATTATACATAAAATTCTGAGTAAAATCACTATACCATGTCCTATACCTAAAGTAAATAGTTTTCGAGTTATTAATATTTTTTCGTTAAAATTTGAGAAATGCCCGTCAATCAAAAATATCCTATAACTTTTTTGTTATTAGGTTTGCAAATATGGTGTTGGAAAGTTTCAATTTTTTGACACCAACTGTCAGAAAAAACATGTCAACCATATTAACGCCAGTTAGATGCTATAGCTATAGAAGCCTTACTTATTTTTTTCCATAATATTTGGCATAGTACGAAAACAACGTTGCCTAGTTTTTTTAACTATAATCATTCGTAGCTCGATATAATCAGAACAAAAAATGTAATTTATAAATAAAATAACTCAACCTATCGCTCAATATGGCATTAATTAGTACGCCATTTTCGGAACCTCCTGTATACCTAACTCGTATAAATGCAATTAAACACAATTTGTATTGTTAAAAGCAAAATTTTAGACATTTATAAATTCTTCTTCTTCAAAAACAGTTTTACTTTTTTTCGATAGAATTGGTCTTGAGTCAAATAAGCTCAAATTTTGAAACATCCGCATTCACTATTGTACAAATCACAAAATATATTTTGTGATTTGTACAATAGTGTATACCTTGCTAAAAGGTCAAAGCTTGCGATATTGTCCCAAAATACAGCTATATTTCTATACCGGGAATCCAATTTTGTCTCCTGGGTCGAAAAGTCATCTATGTTTCATACTATTTCATTAAGCGAAGCGCACACCACAAGCGGCAAAACCGAACTCCTTTATAAATAATAATATTATGTCGAATAAACCTACATATAAAACGCAGACTAAATTTGCTTCTGTATTATTTACTCCTCATCAAATGTCAGTAAACACAATAATTTTACCATTATAAAAATCCAAATATTTTTGTAAATACAGCAATAACAAGGCGTCACCCTAATATTACAAGGTTGTATGTCATGTTTTTTGCACTTTCCGACTTAATAATATAACAACGGCTGAAGGACTACGGTCAATAGCCTTTGAACTTGGTTTTAGTTCAATAAAGCATTATTATTATTAATATAACAAGGTTGTATGTTACCAAATCTTTCTTTTTTAAGCAAAAACATAGATGGAATTACCCATATTAAGTAAAATATTAGGAAAATTACGGAGGTGTATGTGCTTTAATATGTTTAATAAAACCAACAGAGGTGTATGTTTAACATACACCTTTGTTATAAATACTTTGGAAATAAATTAACATTAACAAGGGTGTATGTCCATTAGGCTTGTCAAAGACATTTTGTGAGAATTTACCTTAATCACAAAAATGACACAATCAACAATACTTGTGTAACGTCAAATTTACAATTTGCATTGTTCTTTGTTTTTGACATACAAACATTTTAACGCAACTTTATGTGCTATTAAAGTGAGATTCTGAGTTCTGTGTGACATCTCATTTACAAGTGCTGTAATTAATTTGTTAATAATTAAATAATAAAAACATGGATGCCCAAGGTAGATCTAGAATATTACTAAGCGATTTTACCAAAGCAGAACAGTTCAAGCGTCCAGGCGGCAGTAGTAAATAAAACAGGAAAAAAAATAAAAAAGTGATTTTACCAAAGGACAAACTAAAACGGCAGTAGTTAAAAATTTAAAACAAAAAAAAAAGCACAAAAAACACAAAAAAATTGAATAATCATGCTAATTTCTATTAACTGTATTTTTTTATTATAACATTAAATGTTAAATTTTGTTTAAAGTTTTTGTATTTTAAATATTTTTCTTTTGTAGTTTTTATTTTTTCAGTTTAGTTCTAATTTTGAAGTATACGGTAATTAAAATATTTAAGTTAATTAAAATGTCATAGTTCTATGTAACGTAAATAATCAATAAATATAATTAAAAAAAATTACAAAGTTGTATGTTTTTTTCAAAATTTTACTAATTTTGAATATAACAACAATTGAGTCAAAATAAACATAAGAATTTACTAAGATTGCATATGAAATCAGCTCAAAGCAAAATCACAAGTAAAAAATATTGACTGTACCTAAAGGCTGATGGGCTTTTTTTGTTTTACGTTTTACTCAAAATGTGTAAATAGTAACATGCAACCTTGTAATATTAGGGTTGGTTGGTGAAAATTTTAGTAT